GTTCCTTAAACTTTCCAACAGGGAATACATGAAAGTAATGCATGTGTAATACTCTTTTAGAAACCTTAATCCTCTAGCCTGCTTTTCCATGGCCAAGTCTACCTTCTGGGGTCTTAGGCGACACCTGGGTTTCACTAATTTGCATGGCTTTACGGGCTGAATCCCGGGAGAAATTCGAATATCTATGGTTAATCTGCAATAAGTTTTTTGATGTTATGTTCACTTCATGCCCTTTTATATTTGAAATTGCTGGTTTTACAGAGCTTGTGTTGATCAGTGTGAGAAGACTGGATGCGTGGGGAACAAATGCTCTCAACACTGTAATTTTACTTCTGGTGGGAGTCCCATTGATGGTCCATGGTATCTGCAGGAACCACTTTATCTGAGATGGAAACAATGGGACTGCCTTAGTGATTGTCGTTACCACTGCATGCTTTCCAGAGAAGAAGAGCGGAAGAAACTTGGTCTTAAGCCTGTCAAATATCATGGAAAATGGCCTTTTCAGCGTGTCAATGGAATCCAGGTTCTTCACACTACTAAGCATTTCCTCCTTCTTAAGCAGGCTAATTTAAGCTTTATTATGGTTAGTATCCTAAACAAAGTCTTTCATTCCAGGAACCTGTTTCTGTAGCTCTTTCGGCTCTTAACCTTGCTGTACAATTCCATGGATGGGTATCCTTTTTCATTTTGGTGAATTACAAGCTGCCCTTTAGGCCAAACAAAAAGCCATATTATGAGTATACTGGCCTGTGGCATATATATGCTATTTTTTCACTGAACTCCTGGTNTTATGCTATATTTTCACTGAACTCCTGGTTTTGGAGTGCTGTTTTCCATAGTAGGTGAGAGATTGTTCTCTTTTTTATAGTTCTCTCTTTCTTTCAAGTAGCTTGAAACTGTCTTCTGAATATATATAGTTTTTCCTTCTTGGTTGTTGGCTTCTCATCAATATATGATTCAAGCTTTTTCTGGCATGGTCATGGATAATTCATAATTGTGCTAACATTTTGGATTTGTCATATATGTCCTGGGAAGCATATATATACAGAACTTTCAGATGCAAGACAACATAACCTTCTATATGAGATTGTCAATTTCTCAATTTTCTGGGCGTTTGTGCCACAGAGATCATATGAGCACCACGGCTGCAAATTATTATGTTGGTGTCTGAGGAGTGAGGAGGACAATTTATGTTTCTCTAGCTTCTCCTTATGAGTGGAATTGTTAAGGGCATAGTGGACAACACTGTTTGGTGTATCTAAACTAGTTATTTGCGAATCTCTAACTGTTTGATTCTGGGTGTTGTTTGAGGCCACTACTTCTTCAGTAATTGTGCTGAAAATTAGATTAGCTTCTAATTACGGTAAACCATATTGGATTATTATAAAACTATTTCTTCTGGGGCAGCACCTGTGCAAATATATATATGTTTGGTTTTATAATGTTCTAGCTTGTTAAAATGTTAATCATTGATGTTATAATGTCAGAATTGGAACATTGGAAATGGTAAAGTTAGATATTCTTTCACATTAGACAAATATAATATGTGTATTATGTTTGACACCTATCAATAATTGCTCTTGTATCCATCTAATTATTAATAGCCTGTTTGACCAAGCTTTCAAAAAGTGTTTTAAGTGTATTTTTCTCAAAAGTGCTTTTGAGGAGAAGCTACTTTTTTTGCTTCTCAAAAATCGCTTATGCTTCTACTCAAAAACACTTTTTTTTCCTTCTAAAAGCTTGGCCAAACACCTTAACTTTAGAAAAAAGCACTTTTGGCCAAAAAGAAACTTGGCCAAAGAGGCTATAAGTCACAGATATATCACCGCTTACTTCCACGCAGTACCGAAGTTTCTACGATCTTACTGAGATTTAAGTAATTTGTGCTTATTACATGACAGCCTCATGCCACCTGCTGACCGAAGCAAAATTTTTTGTTCTTTTTTAAAGTTCTTTTATTCTGATATTTGTTCTAGCAACGTCACTTCTAAAATTCTGGTTACTGTTTCAGCGGCACCACACTTCTTCTTCGGTGACCGTTGCAGCGGCACTGCATCTATTTCAGGTGACTGTCTTGGCAGCATCACCCCTCTTTCTAATGAACATTGCAATGACACCTGTTCTTTCTGGCTAGTATTTTGGCAGTTAATCCAGTAACGGTCCCTACGACCTGAACTTTCCTATAAGATCCCAGCGGTTATGCTTTTCCAGTGATTTTCATACAGGATCTCCGTGGCACCATATTAGTGACTCTTTTTTTCTGAGTCATTCCGATTCTATTCAAGTGACTTTTGGTGACTTTTTACGATTCCAAGGTTTGTTTGCTCTTATGTGTTGTCAAAATAAGTAATTTGGTTTTTCCAATTAAATTTAAGGGGTCCATGAGAATGTCAGTGTTAAGATATTAGAAGTTTAAGTTCTTAAGTTAGTTACTACCCATATGTATTCTGTTAAACACTTGTAAATAGGTGTACATATATTCATCAAATTATCTAGTCAGGCACATTTTTTCTCTTCTTTTATTTTATCAAATAGCTTACGGTTTCTCATTTGCGAATTTCCATGTTCTGTCTTCTGATGTTTTGTAACTCTCTTTAGAGACGTAGACTTGACTGAGAAGCTAGACTATTCGTCTGCCGTTGCATTGTTGGGGTTTTCTCTGATCCTGGCTGTATTGCGAGTCTTCAATGTGAGAGACGAGGCAGCAAGGGTAATGGCTTCTGCTCCCATTCTCGCATTTGTGACAACCCACATCTTGTATCTGAACTGTTACCAGCTTGACTATGGTATGTCACTTTCATCACCACTTCTATAGAATAATGTATGATCGTGATAAAGTGTGCCTTGCACAATCTCCTGCTAACTGAAAATGAAACAGCAAATTTTTGGATGATTTTGCAGTATAAACAAATTTAGTTTGTAACATCAACACTTTTAGTTTCCTATTTGTCCTCTATTTCATCTTTCTCTCTTTTGATCTTTAACTGTGTTTAGTTTCTCAATGATCAGTAGCATCACATATTCGAACCATGTTGTCTCTATTTTCTGTTCATATTATTATGGGAATTAATATCCTAATAACAAAAATATTAACTACTCCATATGTAACACTAAACTTAATAAATGAACTAATTATCATAAACTTGTTACGTTCTGTGACCTTAAATCTGTCTAGGTATGAGTTTATGTGCTGTACCTTTAGAATTAAAAGACTTTAGGTCCTTATAATTTAAGATGCCCGTGCAATTGTTTTTGACAATAGAAAGTTTGACGGGAAATAAGTAACACGACAAAAATAAAATAATGATGAGAAAATGCAGAGACTATTGAAGCAATTTGTGTATCAACTGAAGAGAAGAAGATATATCAGATGCTATTATTAAGTTGGGGCGTAATATCTTGACTTTCCAATTTTAGTTGCAAATACTTGCCTTGTGTCAGTATGAAATAATAATGATGCATGATTGTAGTGGCTCTTTAGATTTCATGAATGTATGAAGCATCGCAAAGTAGGAAAACTGATGTTGCTTGATCACATTGCAGGGTGGAACATGAAAGTCTGTATGTCTATGGGCATGCTGCAGCTTATCTTATGGGCTGTCTGGGCAGGGGTTACTCGCCATCCGTCACGCTGGAAACTATGGGTTGTGGTGATTGGTGGAGGTCTCGCTACACTCCTTGAGTTATATGACTTTCCTCCCTATAGGGGATTTGTGGATGCCCATGCTCTATGGCATGCCACCACCATCCCTCTGACCTGCTTGTGGTGGAGCTTTGTGCGGGATGACAGTGAATTCAGGACAAAAACTCTCATCAAGAAAGCAAAGTAGATTGAACAATCATGTGCTTCTAACTGCTAATTATGTATGAAATTATTTGCTTGTAAGGTCTTTGTTAGTTGTCAGCAGGCTGTCTTTTTTTTTCTCGCTGTGTGCATTTCTAGGAGATGCCTACCCATGCGAGTTTCTCTATTTCCAACTTCAGTAGGTCTAGGGTTGGATTCACTGTTTGATTTTCAAATTCTTCTCCAGTAGCTTGTAATAGCATTTGAAAATCTGTTGTTGCTTTTTGTGCTTATGTGGCGTGAACTTTACTTGAGCTAGGGCACAAGATCAAGTCATTTAAAGCTCCTTGAGGTGAATAATTTATGAAGTGTGTTTCCATATGCTTCATGGTGTTCTGAGAATCATGTTTAGTATTCTTACACTTATTGCAGCCTGAGGCTGATTTGTTTTCGTGAAATTTTATCATTTGATAGTAAATTTCCAAATATATTATTGTGAATATGCTATTATTTGCTGTACATTAATATCAAACCATTTCAAATCCTCCTAAGTACGGTGTCATTTCATGCCATGCTATTAGGATTTAGTAGGGCTCTTTGGCAGAGGCGGAGTCAAGATTTGAACGCTATGGGTTTGGGATTGTAATCCTTTCAAGTTATTAGGTTTTAAATTAATAAGTTTTATATATCCAATAAATTTCTTAAAATAAATACATAATTTGAACAAAAGCTACTGGATTCGGCCGAACGTGCATCCCCTCCGCCTCTACTCTTTGGTTGTCGTCCATGTATATTTTAGTCTCGTACGTACTATGAAGGTCCCATCAACGACAATATTCTGTGGTTGTAAAACCAACGGCCACAGATGACGTTAGGAGACGCTTTGTACTTAAATGAAATTCTAGTTAATTACAAGGAGGAGAATGGCTTTCAGTAGTTCACGCTAGCTGTAAGTTAGTTTAAATTCAGCAGCTCGCATAATTTTCGCTTAGGATCGGGTTAAAATTTTAAATTTAGATACTAAAGCTACAAAGAAAAAGTACTCAGAAGTAACTTTTTATAAATATCAAAAGTGGCAAAATAATACATTTTTTAAATATTAGTCAAAGTTTATTAATAATAATATTGGAAGGCAAAAAATATTGAATACTCCAAAACAGATGAAATAGGTCCTAGATTAATTACTTGGCCACTTATTTCATTCAAATACAATGGCATGAAAATAACAAAGCTTTTTGTTTCTCACTTGCCTAACCAAATATTTACAACGCTATTGTAAATTCGTACCTTCCAAATATTTGAGTACGAAACTACCAGTATATATCTCCTAACTAAATCCTAATTTAAGTAACCTCGAGCATTCTAATTGCATATTGACTATATATACTTATAGGGAAGATGATATAGATATATATAGATTGTTCGAAAGAGGCAATATAACCAGAAGTTTTTTAAATAGTATAACTCCATAGATGCATGTCAGCAGCTTCCACATAATCTCCAACATCTACGAAGTGAGGTGGAGGCAGCATTAATCCTTCCGCCATACTCGCTAGCAATCCCGGCATGCAAAACAGAGCTTCCTCATCCATAAAAAACTTATCATTTTCTAGCGTTTCAGGAGTAGTGCCAGCACATGATTCACCTGAAATTGCTTCTGACTCAGATGGCCGGAAAGCCTCGGCTGCCTCCGCCGCCGCTCTCTGAATATCCTTAGCGTCGGTAGAAGCTGGGATAGGCAACTTCCAAACTGAGTCTGCAAAGTTCAAGCAAGCAGAACGACCCCTCAATGCAATAGCTGCCACGTCATGAGCTCTGGCCGCCATTTCTGCAATGGGGTAAGTTCCAAGCCATATTCTTGATTTCTTATTTGGTAGTCTCATTTCACAAACCCATTTGTCTGAGTTCCTCTTCCTCACTCCCCTGTATACTGGGTGTCTAGTTTCGTGAAACTTCTTCCTCCCTGCTCGCTTCTTGGGGTTATTTGAAGCTAACAAAACTTCCTCATCAGAAAGATTAGCTCTATTACATGGGGAGCTGCTGTTATCAGAAAGTGATGAAGATTCAGTAAGTGAGTCGGAGTAATAACTTCGAAAGATATCCATTCTTGATCACTGATATATATATATATATATATTCAGAGAGTAAAGAGTACAGTCTAGTAGTGTTGGATGTTTGGTCAGTTGGAGGTTTTTTCTTTTCTGGTATGAAAGGCGAGCGTCTATATATAGGGGAAGTAAGCTATGATAACTGAAACAATAATAAAGCTAAAAAAGGTTGATGACGCGGGCGAAAGAACACGGTATGTAATTGGAGGGGACAGGCTGGATATTTTTAGAAATATCCTAAGCCCAGCGTTTTTGGAACGAGTGGATTGGTTTGAGATAAAAGTAAATTCCAAGTCTTAAGTGTTTGCTGATGTGGCAACTTGTGAATCTTTCTACTTTCCTGCTTCTCTTCCTTCCTTCCTTTTGTGGAATATAGCTATCTAGAGTATTAGGATTATTTAGGCTGCTATTGACCAATCTTTGACATTTGAAAATCATAAGACAAAATTAATTATTTTTTTAATTATATGCACTTAAAATATATTTTCCTTTAGTATTATCAGTGAGTTGTAATTTGTGTTAGAACGTTAGTTATCATTCTTTTCAGATTAATAATTACTCCATATTTATCATAAAATCTCTAAGTAATTACTTAATAAGTGACATGATTGTGTAAATCTTATTTACATCGATTATGCATAAAACTTAAATATTTTTCTCGCAAGTTAATTTTTTTTAATTTTTTTTTTTAAAACCCTCCCAAATTAGAAGGATCAATAGTGTCAATATGAAATGCGAGCGTCATGCACAGATAACTTTACCGTTGCTTCAAGCTAGACTCCCCTCCTCTATTTGGTTATTTGACCAAAGAAAAACTAACATCTCTTAGCCCAATTCAATATTTCTTTTTTCATTTGTGTTTCCATTCCACGATAAAAGATATACAAATGAAGGTTTAATAAAGATTACATATTAATAGATGAAAAAGTACTTATCATTTTAACATATAGTTTATTTTCTAGAATGGATACTATGCATGTTGAAGTCCACTTGTCAAACACGTGCCAAATAGGAGGAGGAAGTAATCTTCGAAGTCAAGATCAAGAATGGATGCGAGCTGAAAGGTACGTACACATTCAAACTCTTCGAGAAGAAGTTAGTAGAAGGTCAAGCATAATAGTTCCTTTTGGAGTTGTATTGTAGGACTAAATGACAAATCCGTTGTATCCTAGGAGAGTCCGAATGCAATCATGTTTGAAGGATAAAATTGGAAAACTGGCCTTAAACATTTGAAGCCATCCATATTGTCTTACTCAACTACACCCACTCATTCAGTCACTTGCACTAACAGACAGTTATTGACAATTACTATCATTTGCAAGAAATGAAAGAAACGAGTGGCCACGTGCAACAGTTTCTTTCTTTCTAATGGACTAGGAAATAGAAATCTTGGATATTTAGTACTCTTTCCGTCTCAATTTACGTTAATATGTCAAAACAATCATTTTTTGATCATATACCATAATTTTGACATATTTTAAATATCAATTATTGTGGCTTATAGTATATATTTACGTAGTTTTCAAATATATTACTTATATATCAAAAAATTTAAATATTCTATATTCAAATATATAATTAAAATTTAAAAGTTTGAATCTAAATAAGCGACAAATATCACATAAATTAAGACAGAAAGAGTATTATTGTACTAGCATACAAATTTTGGTTCTTCCATGAGCAAGAAAAAAAGTTCCCAATTTCTACCCCGGAGAAGAACGAAATCAAAGTTGCTTTACTAGATCCATGGATATCTTTTTGTGAAATTTAGTGTATAGGATCTAATCTACCAAAGTAAAGAGAATTGAGGTTTTTCATTTGTCCCAAAAATTTAACCATAGGGTTTTTGGCCTAATTCCCTGTTTATCCGAAAAACGGATAACAATTAAATTTATATGCGATTTTAAGCATACGTAGTATAACTTGGTACAAATTGAGAAAATATGTAAATGAATATCGAAATTAACTGTAAAAGAAATAAATGCAAACCAAGCGGATCAGTTAGCCTTGGCTTTCGAGTTAGATTACTCTCCTACCAATGAAAAATTATGCTAATGTATAAATAGAGTAACAAGGTGTTAAGAGTTAAAATAAGGCAGTGTATTGCTTTCCTTTCCCAAAAAAGACAACAACCCCCCTCTGCAAATGATCAAAAACCCTTTATATAGTAGGAAAGTCCTATTTTGAATATAATTAAAAGTACAGAAGGAATCTCATGATAGATTAATTAATTAGCATTTCCTTGATATGCGTCGAGATTTTCGCCAAGATTCTCGCCCTAATTGCGGATATACCAGTTTTTTTTATTTTTTTGGCTCGATCTCGATCTTGGCCGATCATGATCTTGATCGGTCTCGTTTTTGCTTTGTCTCGATCTTGACCGATCTCGACCAGTCTCTATTTTGCTTGATCTTGGCCGATCATGATCATGACTGGTCTCGATTTTGCTTGGTCTCAATCTTGACCGATCTCGACCAGTCTCCATTTTTCTCGATCTTGGCCGATTATGATCTTGACCGGTCTCGATTTTGCTTGGTCTCGATCTTGACCGATCTCGACTAGTCTCTATTTTGATCGATCTCGATCTTGGCCGATCATTGGGTCATGAGTTCGGCAACCTAACTTCGCATCATAGCTTGTCATTATACGAGGTTGAACCTTGATCTATCATGTTCCAGTCTCGATTAGTCATATAAAGGGCAAGCTCGGTTTTGAACATATACAGATAGATCCCTCATTTCTCGGAAAGAAGATGACGAGAAACAATATGAATTTCTGAACTCCAACTTGATGGGTTGTGACGTCAGCGATGAGCCCGATTATGACGTATGTGATGAAATGTCCCATCGGTCCAGTTACCAAGGCATTAAATACCTGACAGTTGTTGGTCGGCCATTATCGGTTCCGAACTGTCGCCAACAACCTATGCGAACCCAATCTTTCCTCATTAAAAGTTTTCACTCAAAGCTTCTTCTCTACTCTAGCATATTCTTCAAAAAATCCATTTGCTTTATAATTTTCACACCGCATACAACCCTAATTCTCTTTTCCCTTGTTCATCAATGGCGAAAACCTCCAAAACAGTGCCGCAAAAAGAGGTCGTTTCTTCATCACGACCCGCCGGTGGTGAAGATGCGGTGGAGCCTCACCCTTAGGAATTCGTTCTGGTAGGATGCTCAATCGTCACCGACTTTAAGGTCGAAAAATCCTCCTCGGTACTGGGCCGATGTGAGCCTATCTCGAGGTACCAGTGTACAATCACCGAGAAAATCCTCGACAAAGTGAAAAAGAAATGCAACTAGGGTGAAAAACATGTGGTAGTCCCATCGCCTGAAGAATCGAGTACTACCCACGTGGAGAGGTTCTTAAGTGTTTATACTTAACCTTTCACGTTGGGTTCCTTAGACCCTGTCATCATCGCCTTTTATAAGAGATACGACGTGACCCTCGGCCAGATCCTTCCTTCTTTTTGGATAATAATGATTCTCCTCCAATTCTTCTCGAGCAAAATCGAGGGGTGTCTTTTCACCCTCGATCAGCTTATGCGCTTTTACAGTCCCCGATTCTATCGAGGAGGGCTAATCAAGCTTGCTCGCCGAGCCACCAAAGCCCTATTCTCGAGTATAGACGAGACTCATGACCGAGGTTGGATGTGCCGATTTGTTCGAATTAGATCTTTGGACATAATCCCCGCTGATGACATGCCGTTTCCTGAGAAAATGGAATATGAATCATGAGTAGTATCCCTTTTGAACGTTTAATTTTGTTGCTCTATTTTTTATTTTTTTATCTACTTTTTCTATGTTTGTTACAGTTGTGGCCCAGATGCCGGAGTCGATTCCGGAACTTAAGCAATGGGTTGAAGGCTTGGTGTTGCAGAGACCATACTCCTAGCGTGCTTGAATGAAATTATCAAAGGGTCGATGGGAGTCACCCAATCATGGTGAGTTTCTTTCTTAGAATGATTATCGTTTGATTTTCTCCCCTTTTTTCCTTTGTAGGAAGGACGTTGCGATGAGGCCCCCATATGGTGACGAAAAAGTCCCTGCTCCAAAGTAGGTCAAAGAGAAGAAGAGAAAAGGGGCTCCGAGTTCCCCGGTCTCGGAAAATAAAATACCGGCGAGAAAGTCTCGCAAGCCCAAGGGGGGCTCCAGTATTATGCCTTCAAACTTGATCCGCCGATTAAGGGATGCGCCCGAAGAAGCAGAAGAGGAAGTAGCTTGTGTGCAGGATAATGTTGTGATACAAAAATCCTCCGAATCGGCGGAGTTTGATAAGGGAGCTTTGGACATAATTCATGAACAAGGAAAATTTGAGGACATTCCGTCCCGAGCTGAGATGGTCGAAGGAGAGACCGGGGGAAAGGCTTCTCGGGCAGCAGACAATGTCTCGAGGGACGAGATAGGGATAGTCGACATTACAGGATCCCCTCAGATTTCGGATGCTATGATTCGTGAAGCTAACATCTTGGAAAGTCAATCTTACGGGGGTATTCAGGGGTCGACTGATATTCATGGCTTTTTGGATGGGCTCGAGTCTGGTGCCTCGGAGGATATTATCAGGTTTGATGGATTATCGGTACCGAAGAAAGCATCATGGTCGGGAGCTATCGGGTCTTCATCGAGCCCAAAACTGGTGGACCGATTCCCGGCCCCGAGTGTTAATCCCGATCGTAGACGGAAAATAGTGCTTTCCATCCCGGAGGATGCCCGAGTTTTCTCTCCCCCCGTGGGGATTGCTAGTTACCTTAGATCCTTGGTGACTGAAGAGGATCAAGCCGTGATGAACGTGGTAGGAGCTGCTTGCCTTTTCAATGAGGCCTAACATGCTCTGAATCGAGTAACTTCGAGGGTATCTCTAATGTTTCTTTTATACTTGGAGTTGTAGATAATTATAACATCTTCTTCCTTGTTTTGCAGGCTTCGGTGTTGCATCACGAGGCTTTTCTCTGAATCCGGGAGGAGCATGAGGCTGAGATTTGGAACCTCACTGATAATAGTGACACCTATAAGCTTCTTAATGAGAAGCTTTGGGTAGATTTGGTAACGGCTCGGGATGAGCATGCCAAGATG